AAAAAAAAAAAAAAAAAAAAAAAAAAAAAAAAAGTAGAGAAATCCCTATTAAATATCTCTGGCAGACAGACTTTTTACATGGTGATGTCAGATGTAAATTTTGCAGAGCAGTTGTTAAATTTGTTGGGTTTGGGACTGTTGGCCTTATCAGCCTCCTTAAGGCCAGGGCAGCTGACTCTGCTAGGCCTCGACACGCAGCAGAACAAACAGGAGGACATCAATATTGTAACATGAAAAATGAAGTCATGCCATCCATAGTTGGCTAAGCCATGGAATCTGTGGCATTCCTCATTGCTGGTGTTATAGAGTCTAAAGTTGAATCAGAAAGGGAGAAGACCAGTTCTGCTTTCCACTCCTTCAGGAGGGTTGTTTTATTCTAAATAACCCCCAAAGACGTGTCCTGTGTGACTGTGGGTACAGCTCCAAGGATCTTTGTATGTCAGTGGTCTCTCAACATGGGTTGCTTGAGCTGGATGCTGTGCTCTGATATTGTACTGCTTGTTTTCAATTGCCAAGATAACTTCAGAAACCATTCACAGCCATGTCTTCAAGCTGTGGGGAGAATGCCAAAGCCAGCAGCCACACTGGAAGCCAAAGCCTTGGCTCCCTGGGATATAGTGGGTGTAGCTGGTGCACACTGTAGAATCAACAGCCTGTGCCACAACTGGCACCTTTCATAGAACCACAGAGTCACTGAGGCTGGAAAAGCCCTCTGAGACCACTGAGTCCAAGCATTCCCCCAGCACTGCCAAGGCCTAACCCATGTTCCCAAATGCCACATCCACACATCTGTTAATCCCTTCAGGGGCAGTGACTCCACCCTGGGCAGCCTCCAGCAAACTTGCAGAACTGACAAGGGAGTGGCCAGGGGGAGAGGTGCCTTGGGCCAGCAGGGAGCCAAGGATACCAGACATGTCCTTTCAGCCCAGAACTGGCCAGCTGATGAGAGATGGGAGAACCCACAGGCTCACAGCTGCACTGGGGACTCTCCAGCCCCGGCAGCTCTCAGGCTGGTGCTCAGGTGACCACTCTGACCATTGACAGGGCTCTGGCCAGGAATCCCAGGGCCTTCCCTCGGTGCATCTCGTTAAACACCAGCCTGGCTGACTTGAAATGCTGAGCTAGTCCTGTTCACAGCTGAGATCTGACCCCATGTAGGTGATGAACGCACCTCATTCATCACCATCTGAATGTCCATCTTCGTCCCTTCAACCTGTACAAGCAAAGGGACTTGTAGTCTCCTGGCTTTCCTGGAGCCGGGAAATCCACAGCTCCTTGTGCTGCTTTGAGGACTCTTTTGGCACATGTTAATTTTGGTGTTTCAGTCAGCATCTCCATGCAGGACTCAATGGGTTGTGTGGGCTTCCATCAGTGTTGAGTCATCAGAACTGGTTAAAAGGTGATGGTTAAATAGAGGCCATGACCAAGAGACTCCTACCCAGGGAAAGACACAAGAGCCAGATGTTGTGCCTCCTAAAGTGTGCATTTAGCTCCCTTGAAGCATGGGATGAAGGTAGAGGAAGAAAACTTAAGTCATTAATATGCATTTGTCATGACATTATCAAGTTTAATGAGTATGTGTAATAGTGGGTTTGGAGCATGACACAATTTTATTCCCAGTAGCACATACACAGCCTTAAATCCAGCTACTGCTTTGCTGAGGAATTCAGCTGAGAAGGAGAAAGTTCAGAAGCTTGAATTGGGGTGAGTCAGATTTCTCAGTCCTTTAAAAGAGCTGAAAATGATGTTTTTCAAGTTAATTTTTAAATAGGGCCACTGAAAATGTCACCTCACATTTTCAGTGCCACTGAATAAATAATCTGTTGCTAGTGTAAGAAATGCTGTCCTGGAACCATAGAATGTCCTGAGTTGGAAGGGACCATCAAAGATCATCAAGTCCAACTCCTGGCCCAGCACAGGACACCCCCCAACAATCCCACCACGTGCCTGAGAGCGTTGTCCAAAATCTGTATTTTGGTTAGGTACATCACTCACAGGTGTTTAGCTTGGTGGAAACCATGATTTTGAGGATGTTAAAACAAGAGTTTAATAACAGCTTAAAGAAGTGTGCTGGTCTTAAAAATATGTCCCTGGTTCCTCTGTTTCTTGTTCTTTGGTGTCTGTTGTTAATTTTGGTGGGGTTTTACACTTTAATGATGTCAAATTCATTACACTGACGCATCTCTTTCAGTTTGACGTTCACCATCAGATTCAGGTTTCAGATGAAAGGAAGTGAAGACAGGTATCAGATAGTTCTGTATTTTTCTAAAATTGCCCTTGGAGCAGAGGTTCATGCCCCAAAGCAGAAAATCCCAGGGGGACATTGCCATTTTTATTGTTAATTGAGAAGAGAAATTAAAATCAGAAGCATGGAGTAAGTGTTCCACACAGCCTTATACGTATATTCATTTTTTTCTGTTGAAATTTCACCTTCATACCAATTTTATCAATTGAATGTAAAATATCACATTGGTGGGAGATTCCCAGAATTAAGTAACACCCCTTTTTCCTATGCCACAAATAGGTGCTGGCATGCTGGGAACCCCACAGGGAGTTGTAAATTCTGTGACATTAAAAACATAATGAAATGTGAATGTTTGGGATAACGGCAGTTCCCATGGTATTGTGCGGGATGGAGTGTGTCATCTGGAAAACTCTGCCATCCCGTGTTGAGGGAGAGCTCTTTCTCTGCCCCTTGCATGCAAAAGCTGAATAATTGCAGTGGGTGTTAATAGAATTCCAGAAAACCGGCTGGAATTGGTTGTGGCAGCGCCTGAGGCAGAGCAGCCCCGCTGTGCCCTCGCTGGTTTTGCCACCCTGGCAGGTCTCCTTCCTTTCCTCAGTTCTCTGGGGCCAGATGAAACAATTTTGTACAGAAATATGGGCTAGAATTTTTAAACCTCTTCTGAGGCGTGAGAAAGCCTCTTCTGAGGCTTGTCTCACGTAAGCGCGTGAGATTTGAGTTAATTCTGCACTTAGTGCAGTTCGTTTACTTCTATGCACAAGAAAAAAGATACTTGAGTTCCTTTGGACATGCGAGGTTGGTTGTGACTTTTTATGGTGTTCATCCTCACTTGTTTAGTGATGTTTCCTGCCTTCTTGAAGAGCAAGGTTATAATCAGATAACTTTCCCCTCTGCACCATATCAATCTTTCCTATTAATTTCCAAATTTTATGTCTTTAAAAAGAAAAAAAAAACCAAAAAACCAAAACAAACCCAACCCAACCCCCCACCAAAAATATAAAAGGAAAAAAAGAAATGAACCCAAAATAAAGGCCCAAGGTCACTGTGACACCCTTGTGCCTGTGCCCCCAGCTGGCAGCCTGTGCAATGCCGTGGGGGATCAGTACCACCACGGACATGTGTGTCTGGGCTCGGTGTCACTGCCCGTGGCAGGGGGGAAGAGGAGCTCTGTAGCGACGCTTCTTGTATTTCTCTTTTTGTAGGTAAATTCGGTAAGGACAGGACTGGGGAGCAAGTGCCCTGTTCCGGTGGCTTGCCCCATGCCCACAGGATTAGCTCCTGGAGCTCCACCGTCCCTGCCAGTGCCTGTGCCAGGGCCCGCCCTTGCTGGCGCGGTGACACCGTATGTGATGCCTCTCTGTCAGTACGGAGGAGTTTTCCCCAGCCCCGTGTACGGGGTGCCGTGGCCGGGGCCGATGGCGCAGCCCGGGCTGGTCGGGGGTCCCGGCATCGTGCGGTTCTCACCCCTCAGCAGGAGCTGCCTGCGGATGTACCCGGTGCCACTGCAGCGCCCGCCCGCCCGCGCGCCCGGCCCACGGCTGCGCATGACCTAGCGGGGCGGCCTGGCCGTGGGGACCCTGCCACGGGCATCCTGCCAGGGCTGATCTGGCTGTGGGGACCCTGCCACAGGTAACCCTGCAATGAGTGACCTCGCCATGGGGACCCTGTCATGGGTAACCCTGTCGGGGGGTGACCTTGCCATGGGTGACCTTGCCGTGGGTGACCCTGCCATGGGTGACCCTGCCACGGGTAACCCTGTCGGTGGGTGACCTTGCCACGGGCGATCCTGCCATGGGTCCTGGTGATTTTGACGCCGTCATGTGGAGTGTTTGCTCTGTGGATGATCCGTGTGGGACGGGGCGGGGCCCGCGTCAGCAATCACTGTGAGGCGGCGTCACAACAGATCGTTTGTGCTTATGGCAATATCTGCTTCTGTTCCATTGCTGAAGACACTTTATTCCTTGTGTTCTGTTTCACACTTGCGATCCTTAATGTTGATGTACTTGAATTGATGACTTGCAAATTGTACTAACCCTGCAGGACTTCAGTGCCTTGAATCTCAGCTTTCCAGTCCCAGCTGGAAAGAGATGTACAATTATTTGAAAGGTGTATTTTATTTACTGCTTGCCAGTTGAAGTTCTTTTTATTTGCAAAGATATTGCAGGTTTACAGTTGACGTTCCTCATCAGCTTAATTTTGCTGTAAATGCTTTCGTTTTTATTCACGGGTTGAATTTTCATTTCTGAAGCTTTTTAAAAAAAAAAAAGAATTGTGAGGTGAGGTTTGTTTGACACGTTTGTTTGACGCACTGATCATAAAACTGTTTGTGTTTGTACAAGGAGTAGTGAAGTGCACATTGTAATGTAGGAGTATTTACAGAGTGATCCCAGGAAAGTGCATACAAGGACAGGGAATAGCTTCAGGCAGTGCAATCCGTTCTCCTCCCCAGCCTGTGGTAAAGTCGTTGTAAATGGCGGCTTTACTGCAGTAACAGGCAGCAAAAATGCTGTTTTCCTCTAGATCAGCAGCACATTGGATTTAATTTCCTTTTCCTATCTGGGCTTTTATAATTCAGTTAAATTACAAGTTCATGCATGTTCCATAAGTGAAGAAAACTAGTGGAACTCTTGATCGTAGGAGAACATATCTCCAGGGGACTGTCAGACCCGTGTAAGTACAGCACTCGCACGTGCTCTGGCTCCGGTTCGGCCACCAAGGCTCAGGGTGGTGTCTGGCCACTGACAGTGTTCGTGCTGAAACAGAACAGAATATGAAGCTGTTCTTTCTCATATCTGACACTTCAGGTTTGGAGTCTCACCACCTTTCATATGGAATTTTTTTTTTTTTTAATTTATTTATTCACTTTTATTTTTACCAAAGTTTGCGCTCCAGGTGGCACGGACACCTCTCTCCTGTTTGAAAGTTGCTTTTTGCCCGTTTTACTGTGCGTAGAGTCTCCACCTGCACCTCAGTCTAAAGGCACAAGGTAACCACTAGACCTGGTTTGCCGATGGTAAGTCTCCTTCCCTCTGAAAGCGCTGCGGGAGCGTTACAGGCACAGGACCCGGAGCAGTGGCCATGCCCAAAGGCGCCGTCACTCCCTGGTGATGATGCTTTATACCATCTGCTGAAGGGCAGAGATGTCCTGTGCTTCCAAGCTGTGAATTGTATAGTTCTATTGTACCTCGAGCATTATTATTCTACCTGTCTAAATTATTTTGTTTGTACCCTTTGAATATATTATTCCATCAATTCAGTTAGAATTGAATTTTATAGACAATTATGCAGAGTCTTCTGCCTGGGCAAAATACTTACTGTAGTAAGAGATTTCTGTTCTCTGTACCATGTATCTTTAATTTGTTTGAGTTTTTTAGATTCATGTATGTATGCTTCATGAGCAAACATGGAAAATATGTTCTCACACCGGGTTCCCTTCGGCTCGCACTGAATCCTACAGATTATGTCGCTATTGCCTGTATAGTCCATCCCTTGTATACTGACAAAGTCAGTGGCACTAAAAGCCCCGAGAAATTGTATAGATTAAAAAGAAAAATAAACATTTTGTGCTTGAAAATGGTGTGAAAAACCCGATGTTTTTCTAAACTGTAGAACTGTGTCGATTCCCAGCTATTCTGGGTAACACTGCCTTTGTTTTCCAGACTCGTTCTTGTCCCTTGGTTGTGTAGCAGGAGCAGATGTGATGCCTCTGCTGGTTCTTGGGTTCTCCCCATAGCCCACACCTCCAGCAGCTGTAGAAAGGAAGCGGTGCCCCAGGAGGTGCTTGGGGCCACCTCGCAGGGCACAGTGCCCCGAGTCCTTGCCTGTGGAGGTGTTCCTGGTGCTGGGGCTGCTGCAGAGCAGAGCGGGCTGAGTTCCTATGAGCAGATGGTGCCCTCAGCGCTGCTGGTGGTGCACGTGAGGGTGCTGAGTTTGGCAGATGGGAAAGAAGCCCATGGACTGTGTCCCCCCTGTGCTGCAAAGCACTAGGGAAGCCCCTCTAAAGGATCCTGGCATCGTTTAAGTGTGAGGAAGCTTGGCCCCCTTGCCAGCACCCTCTTGGCAGTCACCGTCATCAGGTTAGGCTGCAGGAGGAATGAGGGAAGGGCGTGCAGGTGACACCCCTGCTTCTGTCTCTCTGTGCACCCATCCCACGTGGCTGTGCTGTGTGTGCTCTGTGTGTCGGGGGCTCCGTGCCCCGCGCTGGTGCCCGTCCCCGCCGTGGCTGCGTTGCATGTGCTGCGCTCCCGAGGGGCGGCCGGGGCAGCAGGGCAGGGGTGCAGCTTCCACATCCCCGGGGGGGAGCTCCTGCCTGTTGCACCTTTATCCAGCACTGGGGCTAAGCAGCAGCTCAGAAGGTGATGGCATTGTGGTACTTGTGGTGTTTAATTTCCTGAGGGCCCTCTTGGCTGCAGCTCTTCTGGCTGTTGCTTCAAGCCGTGGTTCTTTCACCCTCAGTTGTGGCAACTGTGTCGTGGAGTGCTTTGACCCTCAGCAGCAATTAAACAAATGACATGAGATTAAATAAATGGGGCGACTCCTTGAGCAAAAGGTGAGCCAAGGAGCGAGAGGGACCTGAGGGATCTGTGCTGCACCATCAGAGAGGGATCTGTACCCACAAAAGATCCCTTGCAGATCGCAGAGCTGAAATCATTTTATTACTGACTCTGAATATTGCTTCAATAGGCAGCAAACGGGTCAAACCCGCTGGTAGAATTCCTGACCTCCCTAGTTCCTGACCTGCTGCCATATCCTGTAGCTGTGCCATCACCCAACATTCCCAGCCCTGTGCTGACACGTGGGAAGTTTCAAAGTTTCGATGAGGGAGCTCACAGATCCCCCAATTTTCAGTCTTTCAGTTACAGAAACTTAATACAAATCTCGAAGGAATGCTTTAACCCCCCGAGTCATGCACCCAGTAGTGGAGGAAAGTTTTTGAAACTTTGGTAGGAAAGTTTCAAAGTTTTCACAATTTGGGAAGTTGGGAAAGTAGTTGAAGTTTTCCTGTGTGCCATTCATTTAGCTTTCTGATTGCCTCATGTCATGGTGGAGTATCTCAATGCATAATCACATTCTGCTTTCCCACCCCATCCTTGGCTTGCTTGGAGTGGGACTGGGTATCCTGAGAAGGAGCTGCTCATCTGCCACAGGGATGCAAAGCTAGGCACTTGAGATGGCAGGGAGAAACACTGGAGTACCTTAAGGCTCTTTTGCAAATCCAGATTCAACCTCCCTGGCACAGCTTTCACCCGAAAGAATGATGTAACACTGGCCCTCACAGTTTGTTCATGTATTTAACTCTGGTCTCCATTTCACAACTTTAAACAGGAAATATTTTTTTAATTCCTTTAGAAAAGAAAAAAAATCCTTTAAAAAGCTGCTTTAAGGAGGAAATGTTGCCCAGAGAAGCTGTGGCTGCCCCGTCCCTGGAAGTGTCCCAGGCCAGGTTGGACAGGGCTTGGAGCAACCTGGGCTAGGGGAAGGTGTTTCTGCCCATGGCAGGGAATTGGAACAAGATGGTCTTTAAGGTCCCTTCCAACCCAAACCATTCTGGGACTCTGTGGTTACTTAACCATCACTTCACACCTGTCTCCAAAGTGCTCCATTCTTGCTCTCTGCTGTATAACTTCTTTACTTTTCTCTGAAATACTTGACATTGGCTGAGATCAAAGGCAAGACGAGGGTGAGACGTGGCCGTTACTGTGCTCTGACAGAGATACTCGTGTTGGGGAACAGGGCCTTGGTGCTCAGGGGCAGTAATTCCTGAAATGGGCTTCTTCATCCAGTGGCAGGTTTTGCTGTTTGGTGTTTGTGGAAGGAAATCACTAATACTTTGAATCATTAGTTTAACTTGGCTTTGTCAATGGTATGTCTTCAAGCATTTTTCATGATCCCAGTGCGTTACTGTCAGGTCTGGGAACATTCAGAATATTTCCAGACAAGCCTCGTGGACACTTCATAGGTCCGTGTTGGATTTGTTCAGTTTGCACATGTTTGGGCAGGAAAAACATCTGTCCTCAAACATTCCTTGGAAGTTGGCTTTGGAGGGTTGTAACCAGAAGTCTCCCTTCTGAAATTGTGTGACCTCAGCATTGCTTTCCCTGTCATCCCCACCCCCACAATGAAGCAAAGAGTTCAAGACTTTTTGGGTGAGATTGATGTTACTCATCAGGTATTGGCTATTAATGCAAGAACCTGCCTTGTTTTCTGCCTTGCTGCCAGCAGGTTCCCCCCAAGTTTTCCATGGATGCTGTTGAAGATGTTGTATCAGAAGCAGAAGTCACACATTAAATAGTTCCTGACTGTGTCTAGTGTCCCAGTAAGGTTTCCTTGCCTTCTCTTGCTCCTCGTGTGCCCTCCTCTGTCCCTGATTTCTGGTGATGTCTGTGGGGAAGTGTGGGCACGGTCTGTGCAGAGTGTATGGGCAGGGAACTCACACGCTCTTGTCATGGATAGATGAGTGTCTGATATAGGATTGAATATATAACACAGCAAAACCATCATCTTGTGTTATTTCTGGCTACAGTTATTTATTATGGATTGAGTACTTGAGGACAGTTATTTATTATGGATTGAGTCCATCTCAGGGATCTGTAGGGTCGGGCTGTCCTAGTCGGCGCTGGTGCAGATTGAGTGGAGTGAGTCTGATGTGCTGATCCCTGTTATTATTTTACCCCTGACAATCATTTTCCTGTCTGTGTACCCAGAAAGGAGCCGTTGATCAGATGGGAGCTGTGTGGTGACTCACACGTGTGGTTGGTGCCCTTGGCAGGGGCAGTGTCTGGCTGTGGAGCCGCCCCTGCAGAGGCAGCAGGACAGGGAGGCTCCAGCCCTGACCGTGCTGCTGCTTTTATTAACGCAGCCAAGCTCCAGAAGGGCAGCATAACGAGATGGATTTTAGGAGCTGTCAGGTTGCAAATTCTGCTTTATGAAGGAGTTTGTTGCTCAGAGGGGTTTGGATGTGCTGCAGTGCTGACGTTGACTGTGTCAGCACAGAGATCACTTACACTTGATTCATTTGGAAGTCAGGCTTGGAGCAGGAGGTGGCTGCTGTTGTGAGTGATGTGATGCTCTTTGCTCCCTTCCCAGGGATAGTTGTGGTGTGCTGCCAAGGCTGGTGCTGCATGCTCTTGGATCTATATCTGATTATAGAATGTCTCCCTTGAAATAAGTTTCTCATGAAGAGTTTAGGGGCTGCGTGGTTCGAGCCTTCAGTCTGACCTGCAAAGCCTCGGGAAGCTTTAGGGCTCGCTTGGTCACTGTGGAGGAGCTGTTCATACACAACAACCTATATTCGACAAAGTGTCTGTTACAACAGTGAAATTCTTGTGACAAGGTCTTGGTTTTTCCAAGTCTGGTTGAGTAAGGGGCACTTGGATGATTTTCTTTGGATGTAGTGCAATGAAATGGATGCATGGTGAATACTGGTCACGTTGTTGTAGTTGTGAGGCAGAGAGAAAAGCTGGAATTATTTTTTCTCCTCAGAAAGGAGCAGATCCCCACACTTTGTCTTTCATTATTGAGGTGCCACTGAGTGCTAGCTATGGCAGTGTGGCTCTCGAGGAGCTTCAGGTGACAGGACGAGCATGGTGAGAGCCTCTCCAGCCACTCTTCTGGGGTCTTCTTTGTGCCTGTTGCAGTTTTTGTGGGGTATTCAGGACTCTGACACCTTGTAAAAAATTAGGTTTAAGAAGAAATAACCAGAAATAATCATTCTCAAATGGGGCTTTTTCAGGTCTGACATAAAATTGCCCCAAAAAGTATTTACTCTTCTGTTGTTTTTTTCAACTACTTTGCAAGTAGAGTAAAAACTTCCTCAGCACTCAGGGTTTGTTTATCAGATTAGACAGACTGCATCTAGGATCTTCGTCACCACATTAGGCAGCAGCTACAGGATGTGCCATCACTGCCTTTTCTCCACCACCAAGCAAACGTGGGGTTCAATCACATTCCCCGGTCTCTCCGGCGCTGTTGCCTCCTCAGCCTGTGAAAGCTCAGACTTGACTTTGTAGTAAGAAGTGAGGAGTTTGTCTGTGGGCTGAGCACCCGTGAGGGTTTGTTTGAGGAGCCAGGTGACTGGGGACCTGGCTCTGCTCAGGGTGTTGTGGCTGACCCATGGCTGCCATACCTTATTTCCTAGTTACTTGGAGATAGTTCATCTTATCCTGTTTTCCTGGGTGAAACTCTCTGCCAAATGTTGGTTATCCATAGCGAGCAGGTGTTGGGGTGGATCCAGGTGGATCTTCAGAACTGGCGTTCGTCAGAAGCTCAGGAAGGAATTACGATCAAGACATGATTTTCCTTCCCTTAAAAGCCATTCTTCCCATGAACAGGCGGAGCAAGGAGTATGGGAAAGTTGGGGCTGCGTTTAACAAAAGCGGAGCCCAAACCACAGAGACCCAGCAGGAGCTGTGCCAGACCCAGATGGCACCTGCACCACGTGCTGTCCCCACCCATCCCCCGCCTTCCCTGCTGCTCCAAGGACTCCCTGCTGCTCCAAGGACACCCTGCATGTGTTCTGAGGGCATCCCAAAGCCATCTGCTCCGTCAGGCCTGTCCGTGGCTGTGATCC